CTTTCCTTTATAAATCTAGAACCAGTAAATTTAATTTCTGCAGGTAGAATTGGAAAGCCGACATTTGTGATAGCTATCCAAAAGTAGTTATGTTATATCTCGTTTTGTTCTGCGTATAATGGCAAGTATGGTTCATACTCGAATATGCGCTCGTTCAGTCCATTTGAGAAAGCTGGTTTCATTTTGTGTATTGGAGGTGTTCAAATATCATGAAGTTGTCATCTAGGGGAATATCGAAGTCAGGAAGCGGTGTATATCTGTTATCAATAGCTGCAACTTCAAACATTATACACTTTGTTGAATAGCTACTATTTTTTTGTAGTGCGTGGATGAAGAGAGACATTTTCATTTTTACGTCATCACACTGAAGGCAGGCATTAATTGCTGTTCGATAGTTTCCTTGTGTGAGTTTTCTGGAACCCTCGAACACTGAACTTTCATGATTTCAATCAATTTGTAGTCGAATATTCCGTCTACATAGGAGCTTTGAAGCGCATATCGTTCGTTAGACGTTTCTTGTTGCTGCCATTTTTCTATTATCGTGTACTTCTGCGTTGGCTGAATAGCTGTCAATTCCATACTCAACGATCAGCAAGGGCTTTATTCTGATTTATACGGATTTTTATACTGGCAGAGACCAACCCTGATGATGTTGTGGTCTATTCAGAGCAACGCGTTGGCATTAAACTGTGTACCGTCTGTTGTATTTGGGCCCCGAACCATGAATCATTCAAACAATTTTGTGTGTAACTCTCAGCCCAGAATCAGGAACCTGAAGCGTTATTTGTTTAGGCTTTCCTTCAAACGTTGGAATACTTTTAATGTCGGCACAGAGTAAGAAGTTTATGAAATCCCTGCACGACTAATACAATTTCCACTTTAGTTTTTGTCGAATAACATGGAGAATATACCTATAACATCTCAAATTTACTGTAGCAAAGCAATATCAGGCCTTGGCACCATTCCAAGCAGTGGGGGGGATGCAGGGCAATTTTAAACAGCTAAAAGATCAAGAAAGCGGATAAATGCATGTACTTGAGTAAAGAGATGAACTGTCGCAAACTAAGCCGAAAGGATTTTCCTAGAAAAGAGACGGTTGACGGGTTTCCCATTTAATTATTAACATGATAAAAGAATCCCACCTCAACCCTTTCAATTCAGCCGTCCTGCCAGCAATATTGCATAGCTGTCAGATGTAGCCATTCACTAAAGCCGAAAAGCGCGAGTAATTTGTCACTGTAAGAGCCATGCAAGGAAGAATGTCTTGACTGTCATCTCGCGACCACGTCTCAAACAAGAGGATCAGACAGCGGCTGGGAATTAATAAAATGAAATAAGAAATTTTTGTAAGTCAGGAACGTAACTCCGCTCATAGATTAAAAATTGTAGGCGATAATTGACTGGTACCCTAAAGAGAGGACTAAATCGCTTGATCGCCCACCCAAGATCACATCTGGTGCCGGTAATGGTACACTTGGAGCGAGAAAGCTTGAAACCACGATATAGCGGGCGTCTCGAGGCTGGTTTTTTGAAGATTACCGCTCTATTAAATGATTTAACATTGCAAATTGCGATTGGTTCAAGTGATATAAGTGATTCAAGATTAATGACATATCTTGTGTCGTTTCTACAACGTTTGTATTGTATTTAAAAGAAACGGTTAAACAAATCCACAATACGGTAAAATAAAGAAAAGTATGTACATTCTATGCAAATGAAGGTTTATGAGCATTGACATGCGGGTATTGGTCCTTATTTGTGGGTTCTGGTCAGCGGGATTCTTGCGCGGTTCGAAATCGTCGTGAAACAAATGTAAGTACATGGCTTTATACGGATATGATATGATTTTAGCTGAATAGTGATATGTTTATTTTGGATCTAGGGAGTATGCCCGCGAAGCGAAATTTTGTTTTGCGTGGCAACTGGCTGAAGTGATACTGAAAGGTTCTTGAGCGATTTTTTCTGTCTGATATATTTAGGTGAAAGCTCTATCGCTTTCTGATACTGTTATTGTTATAGTGCATTGCAGGTTTATTTCATGCTGTATCTCTTCTGAATTAGTTTTATCTGTCCCGGGAATTAAAAATTAAATACGGTTTCCTAAGGATTTTGAAGTTGATGGTACATGGTAGTTAGAAATTCACGCTGTTTACAAAAAATGTTTCGATTCGGTAAAGTTTCTATCGTCTCAGGGACTCTTGTAATGCAGTATTTGGATAAACTGAGTTTTTGATCTCACTGGCAGTGAGCTCGGCTTTGAACTCCAAGTACGGGTTGGAATTCTCTCAAAGAACAATCAGTCTAAATCGCGAATTTTCTTTAGGACGAAGTTGATACTATGGTGCTTAGATGGAACAACCTGAGAAACAGGTAGCAAGATTGAGACAGCATGGTATTTTGGAAGATGTACATAATCAATTTTTGATATACAGTGTCATTCCCTAAAGGATTTTTCCAATTTTGTTGTCAATTTCCGCATGAATGATTCACATTCCATTTTGTGAGATCTTAGAAGAATTGATAATGATTTTAGTAGGCTTTTGTCTAGCAACTCTTAGCTCTTATCTGTAAATTTTAGACAATGAAGCCCTTGAAGTCTTGGTCTCGCGCAGATGTTGCGGACTGGCTCTGCAGCGTTGGATTTTCGCACTATGTTGATGCACTGTGTGATAGAAATGGCATCGATGGCGAGTGCCTCCAATATATTACAACGTCTGATCTCATGGTTTTATATCCGGCGACCATCCCAATGCTAGGTGATATTTTGAAGTTAGGAAAGCGGATCAAAGATCTTCGGCGCTCGTTTGAAAACGAGTGCATCATGAAAGATGGTACCGATTTGGAGGAAGAATTTGCAGGTAGGTTTGTCCATGCTTTGTTATAATCTTGCTGAGATGGTGGATATAGGATGTTTTGTACTTTTTGAGATGTCGGTTTCTAATACGCTTTCACCATGGAAATAATATTTCGTGGAGTTGAAGATGCTACGACACACGTCACCAGTCTAAAGTACACTGTTATGGGAAGTTTATCTACAACTTACATATCCCTTGAACTATTTCGGTTCCAATTTGTTATTCTGACTTGTTTATCAGGTCATGACCATTCAACAGAAACGGCTTATTTTATGTTTTAAAGATTGTTTTCATGTTAAACCTCTATTAGGAATTTTGCATACACATGCAGTTGAACGTTAAATGAATGAACACTATTGAGAAAAGCTGCGTTTATCAATGTAAAGTATACAGTTTTCGTTTAATGAGATATCCAGTATTATTCGTTGATTAATTCCAGTCAGTTAGCAGAAGGCGAGAATGTTGAATTTGGATTTTTGCCACTTTAATGGACTGCATTCGAATTAGTGGAATGAAATTTAGGTATGGTGCGAGGGAATCATTAATAATTTGAGTGTGTGGTTCAGTTGGTTTAGTTTAGTCACATGTCACTTAAAGTCACATCGTTTTTCAGTCATCATAACAAAACCCGTTGTATTCCTTGATTTCTGATTGACTAGCGAGCATCGCCTTATTCAACGTTTTTCGCGCATTTTCTACCCAAGAAAGTATTTAATCATGTCGGACTCAAATGCAGTTATTTGAACCAGTCATGAACACAGATAATGAAGTTTGTGTCCTTCCATCATGACGAAACTTATGTAAACTTCAAATATAATGCAAAAGGTAGTTGTAATTGCATCTTTACTATCTCGTATTACCATGCTGTTCATATTATACTGCAGTTGGGGAAGGCTGGTGGCGTTGGTCCTATTCCAAAACTTCTGCCCCGCGTGTGATTTGAATGCAGCCATATCTTTGTCATAATTATTTAAACTTGAAACTTCTTTTATTTTATGATTGTTTTCATTATGTTGACTAGAGTGCAGATGAATTGATGAATAAATAGTTTATTGCGTGCATGGGATTGCGAGAATTCCATTTTTAGCAAAAAAGAAAATATATGAGAATTGTGTACATGTCACAAGATACGAAATAGGGAACAGAATCGCACTCGAGCTACTGGAACTAACAGAACACAATCTGGAATTTCGATGCTAAAAGAATAGTGACAAACAGGAGGAAAACTATGTGCGATTGAGCATATTCAAGTATTGTTGTTTAACTTTCATGCACATTGAAGCTGAGATGATAGATCCTCAGCACAGTTCTGTTCTGGCAAGAACATTAACATATTTAAATCTGATGCAGTGGGTGGCTGTTATTCTCCAGAATGTTCATACCTCTGCGAATGCCATGGGAGGCCGTAAAATCAGCCAAATATTTTAGCAGAAATCATGATAATGCGAAAGGCCGTTTATTTTAGAGATTTCTCAGTTCTCGCCACTGCATCATGAAATCGCATGTTGGTTGACTTGGAAAGGTAACTACCGATGC